CCCCCCCGAACTCCTTTTCAAACACCCTCCCTCCCTCCCCCCCTATCGAGCCAAACACCCTCCTTCTCTCTCCCATACGTCCCTCCCTCCCTCCCTCCTCCCACATAAAAGTAACCTAAACAAACACAATTAAAATTCAAAATTGAATAATGCTACTATCATATTTGGCTACTAGGTTGCAAATTGGCAACTTTCTTGGATCTACTCACCATAGTACTTTAGAAGGCAGAAGGAATGACCAAACCCCCAGGGCAGGGCACCTAGGTGGGCGCCTAGGGGGGCCCTTGGTGCCCAGCTTAGGCCCAGGGCCTCAGCCCACCTCAAGGCAGCACCTAGGCATCAAGCCAGACCCCCTTTTAATACTTGGCTGGCCAATCCATGATGAATAAGAGAATATTCCGAATCTTTAGTTGATAGGGTTCTCTCTATTCCAGTAACCCATTCAGCACAAAAGAAAAGATTGCCATATTTAGCCAAGCGTTCTGGCAGTTATTAAGGTGTTGCCAGAAAGACTCTTCAATATAGGACTCATAGTTCGTAGACACAGCAGGTCTTAAAAGACCAAACCATGCAAACTTGATCTGATACCAAATAGAGCCAGAATTCAGTTATGAACTTGCTTTTTAGATGACACGGGGTCAGATTCAATAGAACTAGAGAGTCCATCTCAATCCAGATACTTGGTAGGGTCACTTATTTCAGGTTTACAAGGGAGAAATCTCTCTCTCCCTCATTGAAGGTTATTCCTATATACTCTATATCCTAGAAAATATTTTGTCAGACCCGAGTTATTACTTTCTATACTTATGAAACTTTTACTTTCTATATAAACGGGGGCACACCTATCTCTATTCATTTTTCCAAAATTCAAATTAATGTTATTAAATTCACAGCACTTCAGCCAAATGGACCAAGTATTGGCTTCAGCCCCTAAAGAGAAGTGCAGCAAATCACTGCCTAGCAATTTGAACTTATCAGTATTTTCAACAATACCCTCAATCTATTCAAACATTCATAAAAATAGCCCTACAATATTTATAATTTCAGAAATATACACCAATAATACTCAATATTTTGGGAAAATATACCTTATATATTGAAATATTTAAAAAAATGCCTAGTTATACATTTTTTCATTTTTTTTTTTTCAAAGATAAACCGGAAGACCTCCCTTGATCTGCCAAAGAGCCCAAGCGCTAAAATTTGATTCAAATCACTTTCTTCCATAATAACCATCAATTACTTGGCTACTTCTCAAGAGATCACCTTTTTATATGTCTGTGTGTGGGTTTGATCAATGAACTATGAAGGAAATCACCTTTATGAATCATTGAAGATTAATCTGGATATACTCAGCCAATAATTGCACGCAGACACGCAAATGCACACACACACACATGCATTCTCAATGAATAATATAGAAGATCACCTTTATTAGTTCATTGAAGATTAACAGGGATATACTCAATCAATAATTGGAAGTCACCACTAGGTTACTCACCATTACTCATCATTCCTCAACAATTACTCCCCAGTCCATGATGGTTCCACAATAACTACATGTTCTATGTTAATGTATATTTTTGTAAAAACTGAGTGCTTAAAATTTTGCAAGCAATTCTTAGGTAACAAGGACAAGTATTCAAATTTAAATGAATGGAGATATTAAAAATATGTATGTTAGAAAACTAATACAAAATAAATCCCTGATACTTCAAATAATTGTCAACTTCTTTTCTAAACCAAATCTACTTAAAATGGTATTCTATATTTAAAAATAGATGCCCCTGTAATTTCCAGTAAAATGCAAAACTTTTGAATCAGAAAAATCTTTCTATAGAATCATAATAGCAGGAGAGAGTTTAAGGAAAAAAATATATGTTATAAAAAAGAAAAAAAAACTTAAATTTAAATTTAATATTACTATAACCTTGCCCAAAGAAGCCTTCCCTGATCCTTAGAATATTTCCAGATAACCCCTAAATCTTAGTTAATGTAGTAGATAAGAGCACTTCTAGTTGCTCAAATTGTTTCTAAAGGCTTAAAAAGTTCGCACAAGTTTGGCATTGTAAGATGAGAAGTGAGCAAAAAGGGTGATTTCAGTGATTCCTCGTGAGATGATTCCCAAAGAAATCTAATTGCAACCTTCTAGATAAGGGCGTGTTTTGGTGGAACTTTTGGGTAGTTGGAGATCCAAGTTCCACCAAACGGACTCCCACATCAGTTGCATGCTTGTGGAAGCCACATCTTTTGATGCCGTTTTATAGAACGCCCCTTCAGCACTAAATCAGGAAGGGGTGGCTCCATGCTTTCACAAACAAACACACCCTAAACGAAACCATGAGGAATAGCCATTCCTGGCCAATTACCGTTACTATGCCTCTCCTCTTTCCAGTCCATGAGAATCTCTCTCTCTCTCTCTCTCTCTCTCTCTCTCT